GTCATCCACTACCACCACCTTTTCCCCAAAAAAATGTTTCAATGTCCAGATGACATAGAAACCCACTTTGGGGTCGACCTTTTGGGTTGAAGCTTTAGTATTTGAGTGAGGGAAAGAAAGATATGAAAAGCATTATTCAAGAAGATTTTAATGTCATTTTTGTTAAAGTAGTGGGGAACTGGGGATTGGTAAGAAGCATGACCAACTAACAACCTTCTCCACATCATCCACTTCCTATATACATTGGTATTGAACCCACCATACATGGATCCTTGAACTTGCCCTCCATTTCCTCATCAACTTCACCTGATATGCAGGGATGAAGTTATACTTTGTCTCGAGATAATTGTCTCTAAAAATTTTGTTATTAATATATATATATATATATATATATAGATAAATACTTAATTAGACCTCTTGACTTTGTTCCTGCTAATACGAGACTAAATCTAAAGGGCAATGCCTGAAATTATTCGTATATTTATATCGTACTCATATATTGTTTTCAAGAACCCTAGAGCTAGTTCATGCATTGCTCCTAGAGACAAGCGAAGGATTTAGTCAAAAGGGGGTCAAATAAGAAAATTTTTGATTGGGAAAGAGTAACAAAAGTGGCTTTAAAAAGGGTTTAATAAGCACTTAACTATGTTCACATTGCCCCCATCCTCTCTTTTAGGCAAGGCTTGGCCCATTACAAGCTGTCCTCCATGATATTGCACCCCCCACCTTCTTTTTGTGCACTGCATTTGCCCCATTTTCTCTTTTTATTTCTCATTATACAAAATAAAAACATAGCAATAAAATAAAATAATTAGAAAGCTTTATATACCAAATAATTATTTGAAATATAAATCTTTATATTTTGTGAGTTTAGGGTTCTATTCTTTTTGCTTCCACGTGTATTAGCCGAATCAGCTATGGTTTCATTGCATCTAATCTTTTATTGTTTCCTGGGACATACCCTCTGAAATGTTGGTGCCCGAAAGGATTAGGACATTCAGATTTCATACCGACAAATAGGATTTTTATAACAACCTGTTCCTAACTATTTGTTATCTTTTTGGTTTTATATGCCATGGATGATCCTCCACATAAATGATTTATATGACTTAAGATATGCCTTTCAAACTCACCCAGTAACGATTAATTTAATTTTTCTTAATGAATGTTACTAACACCCTCTCATCTCATGCACAAAACTTAGCATGGAAACTTTTGAGAACGTGATAAACGTCGTAATTGTAAAATAAAATAATTTTTTTTATTTTTAAATAAATAAATGAAAAAATAATTTGGAGAAATAGGGTCGATCCATAAGGACTAAGGTGTTTCCAATACTAAATTGTTTCGATCTTAATTTAAGGAATAAAATAAAAGAAGGGGTTTTAAAAATAAAAGAGTAAAATCTAAAATAAATGATAGAATAAAATAAGAGTGAATTTAGAAAAAGAATATGGTGAGATGAAAAATAACTTCAAACTTCGCTTTGTCTCAATTCCCAATTGATTATTGAAACGGATTTACTTCCAGATACATGTCGGTTTCAATCTACAAGGCTTAATCCTTACAACTTACCTTTCTCTCTGCTAAACTAATATTCTCAAGTCTATCTCAACAATTCAGTCATTGTTTGATTAACCACGACTATCGTCATTAGCACCAATATAACTTTAGGTGCCGAAAAAGTCTGACTCGAGTTATAGTGTTTCACTGAGAATCAATCCCGATCTCGATCCACCTTAACGGAATGCTGTTAAGTTTGTTCATAGGAAGTTGAATTAAGACTAACTTATTCTTCCCCCTAACAGTAAATTAAAACAACCTTCAAATCAACAACATCTTTTTGAAGTGAATGAGTCATGATAATTTAAGGAATGACCGATTGTCAAGAATGAATCGAGTCAACGATAAACCTTTGGCTAAATGAAAATTTAGCTAAGCATGATTGGAATCGTACTTAGAATTTTAGAATAGAAAATAAAATTTAAGTAAAAATAAAAGATGGAAGAATAAAATAAAATAAAAACGAGAGAATTTAATAAATCAAAAGTAAAAGAAAATTATTAAGCTTACCCTAAGGGGTATTTATAATCTAACAACATCGAAAAAAATATTCAAAATAAAATATTCTAAAAAATCCAAAAGATTTATCCAAAGTATTTTTCTCAAAATTCAAACTTAAATTCACTAGATAATTTTGTCCATCCACCTTCCAAAAAATATTGATTGAACTATCTTCTAGAAGATGCTGCTAACTGAGCGATCTAAATCTACCAGTTGAAAAATGCCGTGCCCCATGTATGCCCGTGACTCCAACCACAACTCCATAAATAAAAAATGTAAATTCGTCCTTTTACTGCTTGTTCTAGAAAATAAGTTCCTGCGCAAAATAAATCAAAATATAACTAAATCAGTAATATTAAATCAATAACAAAAATTAATTATCAATAAAATATATATAAATTCGAACACTCATCATAACATAATATCATATCTGTTGAGGGGTTTACTAACTGTCCAATGAACAATATGTAGTAAATGTATATGTATGTATGTATGTAACGTAAATATTTTTAATTTTGCATATAAATGGTCGTACTTTGGGTTCTAATCAAAAGGTGACTTGAGAAAGAAATTAGGTATAGGTATGGATGAACAAGTGGAGAAGAAATTCCATCATTAAAAGACATACAACATGTCATGCTTTTATGTTTCACCCGTTGTTTCTTCTAAATATGTCAAGGTTATATGTCTATGTAAAGTGTTGGTGTTTGAAATCTCAAAGACTGAAATAGTATTTTATCCATATACAAGAAATGACAAATTAAGAACAAAAGGGCGTATAAACATTTATATCCAATGTTTAAAATCATCTTATTTAATCGGTTGGTTTAAGTGATAAACAGTTGATATCGCTTAAACAAATCTCGAGTTCGATTTCTTGTATATACAGAAAATCTCTGTTGAGAGCTTATCAACCAAATCTAGGTGTGCGACACGAACGGTCTTGATTAGTCGGACCGAAACTTTTAGAATCGAGAGAAAAAAAATTATCTTATTTAAATGAACCGATTGATGCAATTGGTTGAATTGATGGGAGAAAATACTGAAAGTCGTACCGATTTGGTTTTCTTAATCTTGTTAATTTTAATAAAATGGGGGCAATTGGATGCATGAAAACTCATGTCCGTATCATCTTGTTCATTTGTCGGTTTTTCTTAAACAATTAACCATGGGTTATTTTGTTATTAACTAATGTTTAAGATGTAAGGATCCGTTTGTTTCAAGTAAAACGTTTTTCAAAAAATATTTTTTTCATTTTTCAGTGTTTGGTTGGAGAAAACTGGTTGGTCAACGTAAAATATTTTATTGGTCAACAAAATTTCCTTTGTGTTTTCTGGAAAATGATTCATTGTCTGATTTTCCGTAAGTCATTTTCTTCACTTCAAAAATAAATACTAAAATAATTTTATTTTATGAATTTAATATTAATAAAATATTTTAATATCATTTTAATCAAAATATTAATTATTAAGATATTTAACATATATTTATTAATATTTATAATAATATAATATTATATTTTTATTTATAATATAATAATAATTATAATAATAAAGATATATATTTTTATTTAATAATATAATAAATTATTAATAAAATTTATATTATTTATTAATTTCATAGAAATAATATTATTAAATTATTAATAATGAATAATATTATTTATGTATTTAATATTAATATAATAATCTAATAATATTTTAATAAATATATTTTAAAATATAATATACTATTTTTAATAATATTAATATATATAATATTTTTATTTCAATAAAATATATATTAATATTTTTATTGATAAAATTATAAAAAAATATTTTAATAATAAATAAATTATTTTAATTTTTAAAAATAATAATATTGAATTTTGTGATAAATAATATTATTTATTGTATTTAATATTTGTAATAAATAATTTTTAAAAAATTCTTCAAAAAAAATGTTTAAACAAAATCTTTCAAACATTGTAAAATATTTTTTAAAAATTTTTTTCAAAAATATAATTCATTTTACAAAAAAAAATCCAAAAATATTTTTAAAAAAATTAACGGACCTTAAGTGAAGTCTGTTGTGAAAGGAAGCTGATTAGGATTGCTCAACCTCAGCGCTTACATTTGTTAAGTTTAATGCCCCAAAAGCCCAATTTTCTCTCACTTTTACTATCCTTTTTTATCTTCAGTTACTTATACGAGCATTAGAGACTTTAAATCTGAGGGTAAATTATCAGTTTAATACTTTAATTATCACTTTTGTTTTATTTTGATCATCTAACTATATTTTTAAAGATCATACTTAGCATCCCGTTTTAGTTTAATTTTGGTTACCACCGTTAAAAAATTAACAGAGTTGTTGATGTGGCATTTTTTAATTTTTTTTATGATATCGTGACATTATCTTATGATACATCAACATCACATTTATTTTCTTAACGTTGGATAACCAAAATAAAATCAAAATTAAATGTTAGGCGTGATTTAAAAAAATAATTGAATGATCAGGTCATAACAAAAGTGATAATTGAGATATCAAACCTATAGCTAACCCTAAATTTTAATTTGACACTTTTAATAGATGCAATCACAAAAAGTAAAACAAGACAACTAAAATTAAAATGAAATACGTTTGTGCGTAATTTCATCTCCAAACAACTCTATCAAGTCGCTCAAGTAGTAAAAAGAATGTTGTCAATCAATTAAAAAAATTCTAAACAAATACGATCTTATAATCAAACGTACTATTAAAAAAACTTAATCTCCGAAGAATTACAAGAAGCTAATTTCGCTCAAAATCAAATTTGTAATTAACTAGTGCATTGTAAATATAGTGAATAGAATTCCATTAATGCTTGTGAGAGTACAATAAATTACTAGTGTATAATTACTAGTGTAAATATAGATTTCTTATACATAAAATACTTGTAAAGATGAAAGGAAAGAGTGGTGAAAAATAAAGCATGTCCATCATCGTATGTAGAAATTAAGTGAAAGAGGACCATGTTGATGATGATGAGTGGAAGCAAGCTACCCCTCCGACATTTCCTTCTCTCGTCAAACTTTCCAACTGATCTTTTGCCCCCAGTGCTTTTTCTCTCTGCAATTTCCCATTCATTTCAGCCAAAACAATGTCACATTAAAATTTGCATATACATGTATATAAAGAAAGTACCATATCTATTTACGAGGGTAAATGAGACGGACTTGGACGAATAAAATTGTGTTCGTGTTCGCTTGTTTATTATGAAATTGTTCGTGCTTAGTTTAGTTAGCATTTGTGAACATGTTTGTTTATTACTAGGAACTAACTAAATTAGCTGACCTTATTCCCATATGTAATGGGGTGAGGGGGAGGTAAGTAGTAGGCTGCCCCCAACGCCAGGTTGAGAGCAGCTTCCGTGGAAGACCTCCGAAGTCAAAATTATGAATTGCCCACCGTGAGACTCGATCCCACGACCAGAAGGTTAAGAGCCTTGCGCTCTACCAACTGAGCTGGACGGGCAATTCATAACCTTGTGGTCGTCGGATCGAATCTCACGGTGGACAATTCATAATTTGACTGCCGGAGGTCTCCCACGGAAGCTGCCCTCAACCTGGTGTTGGGGGCAGCCTACTATCATATTCCCTTATCCCATTACATATGGGAATAGGGTCAACTAAGGAAACTAACAATATCTTTAAATCATTTTATTTGCAAGCTAAAGAAAAATGGTAAAATTACGCTATTAATCTTTAACTTTTTAGGTTTCACATTTTGAACTCCAAAATTTATTATATGTTCAATTTAGACCATATCTTCACCAATATTTAAAATATAGAAAAAAAATAAAAGGAAAAGAGAACCGGTAAACAAGCTTATAAACGAGCTTTATTCGTGAACATAAATGAATCAAACACATTCTATTCGTGTTCATTCGTTTATTAAATGAACATAAATGTTTTGTTCTTACTCGTTTATTTAGTTTAATAAAGGAGCGTTATACGAATTATTCACAAACAATTCATCGAACACTTTCTTCATTTACACCCCTATATATATATACTTTCAAACTATACCTGCAATCTTTCCATGGCATCTGAGTCTGAATTGAAGTCATAGTAAGTGCTTGCTGCTGTTAGCTTCATTGAAAGAAACTGTAAAATTTCAAAAACAGTCACATTCATGCATGCATACATCATACATAGGAGACAAGTGAATGGGTAATTGCTCTTTCAACTGACCTCAACTTGGTTCTGCAAGGACTGCACATAACTGATTATCTCATCTAACATCACTGCCATACCCATGGTCTGCAAATAATCAAAAACATGAGGAAATTTCTGTGATTTTTTTGGCTAATTTTAATGAATTTTTACAATGATTTACCTTGTAGCATCCTGGGACAATATCTTGCAAGCATCTTAGTCTCTCATTGATTTTCCCTCTTCTAACCTGATTGATAAAAACAAAAGAAAATATCATTTTCAATTGGTTAGAATGGTTGAATCAATCAAAGTTATATGTCTTTCTCGAGAAAATTTACCCTTTCTGCCAAACTATGGCTGTCAGTAGCTTCACCTCTTCTGGCCCTGACATGAACCACATCTTTTGGTTTATTTTCTTCCTTTTCATTGTTTTTTGCTCTTTTCCCTCTCCCAGAATTCTTCATAACAAACAAAACCCAGATCGAAAATGAAGTAAAAATTAAAAAAAAAGGAAAAAATATATGGAATATATACATATATACTTACATTTCTTCTCTTGGTCCAACTTTCTAAAGGTTGTGGAGATGATGAATTCCCAGAACTACTTTCTGACACATCCAATGATTTTCTCTTGTTGCTTCCAAGGAATTCGTTTTTAGCAGCGACAAAGGGTACTGACTGAGAAACTGGGAATGCTGCAGTTAAACCCTGATTGGTATCTTGGAAAAAACCAGGCGGATTTTCTCTGCAGTTTCCCGGAATTTCAGCACCTTGGTTGCCGAAGAAGCTTTCATTGGAGAAGGGGAAGAAGGTTTGGAGATTCAAGGCAGCTGAATTGTCTATGACACCTTGGTTTAGCACACCACAGAGTGATGACTCCATGGCTGTAGGATCAATATCCAAGAAAGAAAATGATTGTTTAAAATTCTGCAAATCTGATGTGAAATCAGCCATATAGAATTTATGGGAGTTTTTTTTTCTTCTCTTTCCAAATGGGTGTTTGGATGATGAGAAAATGTGACTTTGTGTATATTTATAGAGTGGGATCAATATACTGCTGCTCGACATGCATGTAAAAACAGAATCTTCTTTCTTTAACTCTTTTAAGTTTTTCTGGTAAATTATTAATGAATTATGTTGAAATAATATTTTTGGCCATTAAATTTTTAAGGGTAAAGTATAGTCCCCAATTACATGATATTATTTTATTGAGTCACTGGGTATTAAAAATATAAAATAGTTCCCGATTATAGGGTATTGTTTGTTGAGTCTTCCGACTATTAAAAGTTACAAAATGATCACTCAGCTACTCATATATTTTAAATTCATCTTTTTCCGTTAAAAATTGACAATCATATGAGCTAAACATCAACCTACTAACTATGATAGGATAAATCATATTTAATAATATATATTGATATCGTTGTTACTTTCAAGCACTAGATCGACAACATAATGTTTCAAACATTGGCTCGACGACATAATATAAACAAAGAGTTAATCCAAAAAGTACAACTCAAAGGGTTATGGGATTAGATTTTATAATATCACAGTCAACAATTTAACGTCCAGCTCAGACGACCACCAATTTTTTTATCAAAAAAAAAAGATGAGTTTGAAACATATAAATCGTTGAGTGGCCAATTTGTAACTTTCAATAGTTGAGGAACTCATTAAAGCAATGTCATATAGTTAGGGGACCATTTGTGTACTTTATCCAATTTTTAAAAGTTATAAAATAATTATTAAAATATTAAATTATTATAAAATCATTATTGCAACTGTATAATAAGTGTTAAAATACGATAAATTTAATATATATTTTTATAATAGGAACTATAAAATTTAATAATTATTTTATGATAGTTTAATAAATATGACTAATTTGTAACTTTTAAAATTGTAGTGACTAAAAAGGCATTTATAATTAGTTCATGACCTGCATGTGTAGTTTATTTTTTTCTAAAGAATGAAACTGAGTGGCCGCGTGGAATTTTGGCTTCTGTCTATTACTCTTAGGCTGGGTCCCATGCTTTAGGAGATATACCCAATAATAAAATGGGCCCATGAATAAGCTTTCGGCCTATTTAATTGTTACTTTTATATTTTTGGATTTTTCACTTAATAGTTTTAATAAAAAAAATAACCCTACATTGAATTTTAATTAGTTTGTTATAATTTTTGTCACAATATTTGAAAAGAAAATAATTTTGAGTTTGGTTAAACATGTAATATCCTTTTTTTTAAAAAACATTAGATATAAAAATTAATATAATGTAAATTCAAATTTTAATTTAATTTATTGATATAATTATTTTTTAAAGTGAAATAAAATTTTAACATCTCTAATTTCTTCATGTATCATTATATTAATATTGCTATCACATACAAAATAACATATAATGTAATTGAATTCCTTTTTATTTGTATATAAAAGAATATGATCTTAAAAAACCTATATTCGTGTAGCTCGTCTCTTTTCTTTTTCATCTTTGTTCATCGACGGCGACACCAACTCTAATGTTGGTTGCCGATCGTCGGTATTCTTTATTTTTTTTTTTCTATATGTATCTTTATTTTCTTTTTCTTTTTTAATAAGTTTGCTTGCGTTGCACATTTTCATATGCCTTTATGACACATTTTCTTATGTATTTTTTACATTTTTCGATTTTGGCCGTTTTTATTTATCTTTTTCTAAGGGTTGACTTGATATCGCCACGACTGATCAAGATATCGCTTATATGATATCTTGTGATCTTCTTTGCTTTTGACCTCGGATTGGATTTAGATACACAATTTGCGTTTGTGGATAGCTTTTCACATCGCTCGAGTCTGATTTGTGGTTTGTCGGTGGTCTTTAATGTTTGATCCTCTTTTGTGGTTCGTTTGTCAATGTGATCAGATATGTTTTATCTATATTTGTTCGAGTTTCTTGGTTAGATTTAATCTTTCCTTGTATTGTCTTATATGATATTAATTACTAGTTCTGTTTCAATGATTATAGGAAATGTTCCTAGCTATGTGCTTAATTTACGACTGTGATTGTAAATCTTTATTATAATTTAGGATATTTCCAATTTTAAATAAAATTAATTACTACTAAAAAAATGATCTTAGGCCCATATAGAGCGATTGTTTTATATTAATTTATTATTTGTTATAATTATAAATATTGTGGGGGGCTTGCCATCAACACCACACCAATGTTATCATTGCTGCAATAAGTGAATTTGGACATAAAATGGGTGTATCAAAAGTATTTGCTTTAGTGGTTACAAAGATGTGAATCTTTGATCAACTATACATTGCAACCATCCAACTATTCCCAACATCTACTTTTTCAATTATTTTAAGAAAAAAAATTCAATAAAATCACTATTTGAGGATGCACTTATCACTTGGAAATGCCCATCATGTTCTATGTACCATGATAAATATAGATTTTCATAACTTGGGTGTTTCTTTGTTTGATGTATAGATAACTTATATTAACAATAATATACTTTTACAATTATTTTAGCTTTTAATTTGTAATTTTAGAGAGAACAAATATAAATTTTATTATTTTAGAAGGTTAAAATGTAATTTTATTATGGATTAACTTAAAATTTATTACTTGTAAAGAGACTAATCCATATTTTTATCAAATTAGAGGGTCATGTCCCTTACCAAACCCTACATTCACCTATGTCCGTGGGACAATTGTTTAGGTACTCAATGCATTTTAATACGTTCGAAGATATTATTTACATTCAATGAGTGATCTCAATGATAAAGGAAATGTTCACAATAGTAGCAAATTTTATTCAATCAAGTTGTGTTGTTAGTCATTGTATTATACGTAAATTGTAGATTTAAATCATGTTTTTCAATTTAATTATTGTAAGTCCTTATGATAAGAGTACGTAGATTAAATCCACAAATTATGCATAGTGAATGGACTAACGGCATAATTTGACCTTTTATAATGTGATGAAATTAAAAGTTTTCTACAATTATTGTATAAAATTCTTAACTCGTAAATAAATATAGATAAATTTATGCAGTATTCGAACTTAAGTAAAAGGAAAAATAAAAACAAATTAACTCAATGCATGTGAGATGTGTGTTTGGTAAGTGGGCAAAAGCATTTATGTTTTATTTCTACTAAGGGCATAAATTGCTAGGCTTCCTCAACAAACCAAGATATAGTGGTATGAATTTATAGACTATAGTCTATACAAATAGGTGTTGAAAGATTTGATTTTGTGAAATTGAAGCCCTTTGCCCAAATTTGGATATAGTTTGAAATTTTGGTAGGTAGTAGGATTTGGTGCCTATTAAATAATGGATTCCCCATTACTCACTAATTGTATATTGAATTTTAGGCATCATTTCGTCCACAAATTCACCTCCCTAGAAAGGGTTTGTTTTGACTTAGGAAGAAGATGATTAATTTTAGTACCAAGTCGTTGGGAATTGGAAGTATACGAGTACACGTTTGTTTCAAGTTATGAGGTATAATTAACCTCTTTAGTCAAGCAATATCAAGTTGCTTACCACTTGAATCAATCCCTATGATCAATGATGTTAGTTGTTAAAAATAATCATACTGTTGTAATTGTGAAAATTATAAGAGTAAGAATGAGAGTAACTGCTCTAAAATGATAAATCTCAATTTTATTGTTTTCACAAACATAATAAATATAACAAATAATTATTAATATTTTGAAATCGAATTTTTATCGTATGCTAAGGGTGCTTAATGAGTTGAGGAGCTCGTGAGCTGCTCGATTTCGACTCAGTCAAAACTCGTTAAATGTCGATTCGGTCAAAACTCGTTAAATGCTCGACTCGTGTTGATTCGACTCGAACTCGAGCTCAACTCAATACCTTAACGAGTTAAGCCGAGCAAAATCCAACTCAACTCGATAAGTTCGTGAGCAGCTCGTTAATTTTTTATATAATTTTTTTAGTAGTGTGGTGTTTACAAGCAACAATGAATGGAATGAATAGATGCTGATTTTCTTATATTTAGGATTGATTATGTATCATTGGACTTCTTCTTTTTTTTAAGAATGTTTTTTAATATGTTAGTTTGACATTTTTGTGGATTGTTACTTTAGTTTTAATATGTTAGTTTGGTGTATCAATGGATCATTATCTTAGAGTTTTGACTTTGAAATTGCTTCATTGACGAGCGTCGTTTAACTCGTCAAAATTAAAATAATATCCTCTTCAAATAAAATAAAATGTAGTATTGAAAGAGGGTCGATTCACAGGAAAAAATACGAAATTTCTGTGCAAATAAATTTCGAGTTCAGATCTAAAAGCAATATTTTAGATGAGAAGAAAGAAAGTAAATAAAAAAAATAAATCCAAAATAAAATTGAGAAAGAGTAAATCAAAAGATAAAGAAATAAAGTTTCGGAATCACAAATAAATGAAAATTGCCTCGGGCTAGCTTGATTCAATTCCTTCGATCATCAAAATGGATTTTGCTCCGTGATTTATGTCGGTTACAGTCTACAAGGCCCAACTCATTGTAACTTGCCCTTCTCTCATGTAACAGATATTCCTAAGTCTATCTTTTGAAAGACGATTCTTGAGTGGATTAACCACATCTATTGCCGTTAAAACAATCAGAATTAAACTGGAAAGACCAGACTCAGATATTTTGTCTCGTCAAGAATCGAATTTGATCTCGTATTTCTTTAGCGGACCGTCGCTAAGATTGTTCACAGAAAATCGAATTGCCACAGGCCGATCCTTCCTCCCAACTGTAAATTAAATGATATCTAGACCAACGAGTTCTTTTTATTTGAAAAACATTTAAAATTGTAGCAAGGCTGATTTCTAAACTATTTAATCAGAAAGACGAAAATGTATTTCGAAGAGATTTAAGTGATGTTCAATTCTCACGTATGGAATTGATTTGTACTAGCTCTCGGTTTAAAAGGAATTATCTAAGCATGATATGGTTGATCATACTTACCATAGTTTGCAAAAAAAATGATTTGA